CGAATACACACTACCGCCGCCTGCTGGTAAGGAGAGTTATTGCCACTCAGGCATGTGCAGTTCGTACGTGCTTCTTGGCCGTCGGCTGAAGTCTTTGCGGTGTGTTCCAGTGCGACACATGGCCAAGACGCAGAGACACGAGGCGACACAACAGTCGTGTTCTGTCGGGACGTGTTCTCAGGTGTCAGTTTGGGGTGTAGGCCCCTTTAAATGACTTTTTACACTTTTTCTTATCACCCATACTCTGTCTGTGACCACTAATGACATCTCTCTCTACTTCCAACATATACACCTTATACAGTATACCTTACTCATTTAATTCACAGTCTCTTACCAACTATGTTTAAGAATAAAGATTTACTTTTGCTTCACAATAAGATATACATGTTCTGGTTTATAGTATACGTTGTGTGCTTAGAATTGCTATAGAAAAGATCATCTGTTTCCTTTTTGCATGTTATCTTCGGGAATATCTGTACCTTTGAATCGTCTAATAAAAGGATATATTCATTTGTATTTTTTGTTATAGAATTCCTCTTAGTTTCATACGTTTCACTTTTATACTCAGATGTTTTATTCCTCTTACTTAGACCGGTACAATAATGTCAGTATTCCATCATATGAAGGATATACTGTATATATAGAGAGACACCATGTATTGTGGAAAAAAAGTGGTTTTATTTTTCACTCCAGTGTGACCCTGAAGCCATTTCCACACACACACACACACACACACACACACACACACACACACACACACACACACACACACACACACACACACACACACACACACACACACACACACACACACACACACACACACACACACACACACACACACACAGGACAGGAGAGAGGGGAGGGTGACTCACACGTACACACACACACACACACACACACACACACACACACACACACACACACACACACACACACACACACACACACACACACACACAGACCTTGGCTCCTGTCCACCAGCGTTTCCTGTTTCCAGATCTGTTGAGTATTTCTATTTTTTTTATTGAAATGTTTTGTAATTGGTCTGATAATGTTTCTGTGTTTTTTTCAGCAATTAAAACTGAAGCCAGCGATTATGAAACCTGCTTTATGTAACACAGACTACTTTCATTTGGTGTGTCGCACAAACACACTAACAGATTTCACTGAGTAAGAGCGGCTCACTAATTGGGAAAGATAAACAGCAGACTGGTGAGACTACAGGAAGCAGGGCTGGGTTTAATTTAAAAATGTCTATATTAGGGAAGAGAGACAGATCTGACAGAATAAAGAGAACACATAATGATCCGGGGTCATAATAATCGTCATTGAAATTGGGTCTTTAAAAGCGATTCTGTATTCTACAGGGTTTAATGCAGAAGCACTTTGAAAAAATTAACCAAAACAGAGCTTTTCCTCAGGGGAAAAAAAAATGTTAAATTAAATAAAAAAATACATATTTATGGGTTTTGTTCTGGTGGAGATAAAGAAACATTTAAATAGACACCACTAGGGGGGCACAATGAATACACAACATGAAAACAACATACAAATTGCTCACACAACATCAATTCCTGCACATGTAACATAAAAACGTGAAAACATGACATGAAAATGTGCAAACAAGATATGTAAACACATAGAAGACATTACAAATGTAAATAAAATATAGTATTTTAGTGCTGCAGAGATGTTGTATTCTAAACAATGTAATAAAATACCTTGGTTAGATTCTCTTACACATGACTTCACGTCACCACCGCTAAGCTAAAGGAGGCTAATGTTGGGCTATAAAGGAACTACAGCACGGTCACATAACTTCACGTCACCACCGCTAAGCTAAAGGTGGCTAATGTTGGGCTATAAAGGAACTACAGCACGGTCACATGACTTCACGTCTCCACCGCTAAGCTAAAGGCGGCTAATGTTGGGCTATAAAGGAACTACAGCACGGTCACATGACTTCACGTCACCACCGCTAAGCAAAAGGAGGCCAATGTTGGGCTATAAAGGAACTATAGCACGGTCACATGACTTCAAGTTACCACCGCTAAGCTAAAGGCGGCTAATGCTGGGCTATAAAGGAACTATAGCACGGTCACATGACTTCACGTCACCACCGCTAAGCTAAAGGTGGCTAATGTTGGGCTATAAAGGAACTACAGCACGGTCACATGACTTCAAGTCACCACCGTTAAGCTAAAGGTGGCTAATGTTTGACGTTTAGTCATTTCATTTTGCAATTGCTGTATAAAAAAAACATGACCATCTCATAAGCTTGTATCAACTACAGACCTTATTTCAGGCATCTAACCAAACAAACAAACAAACAAACAAACAAACTACTATTGACTTTGAGACAAGGGGACCAAGAAGTGCTAAAATGCTGACTCATTCCCTGGTTTAGGGCTTATCCTCGCAGCACTCTATTGGCTAACCTCTAG